AGAGGGCTACTTTGGGAGCCTTGCATCACAGTCAGCGTGATTACCCTGCTGTCTATTTTCCTAGCCAAGATAAATCCAAAAGTGAGGCAGATGTGAGATCTGTAACCTTTATGGTACATTTAACTACAGTTCGAGTGGATGAGCACATTTCAATGATGTGACCAGTTCCAGTTGAAGTTGCTTTGCTTAGGATTCACTATTCGCTTGTAGAAAATCAAGCCAGTGTTTCCCCATCACTCATCATCACAAGATGACAAGACTGTCCTTCAAAATGATGATCCTTTGCTGCTTATGAACAGTAACTAGAATAATTATTACCCACAGCAACAAGAGGATAGACTTGATGTAAGGAAAAAAGGGATATGTCAAGAGCCAAATTTGTTGATATGCAAATGAAGTTTATAAACAGAGGAAGAAAACATTTTGATATAACATCTTTCACAGGGTTTTAACTACTAGAATTTACTAGAGTATTTCCTTTGGCTCCATTGAGTTTTCTGGTGTGCCCTTATGTACACTAACATTTCGGAGAGTTTCCATACTTGCTCACTAGGAATTCGCAAAGTGTCCTCTAGAAACAACTTTTTCTAACTGAATTAATTCAAAAAGGTTTTTGTTGGTAGAAGCAACCCGCATAAGGATATTAGATGCTTTGATATTGAAAGCAAAAGAATGCAGAAGAATTTCAGATGAGACTGAAATTCAAAGCATCCCTTATTAAAGTCCAGAACAATTAAAATCTAAGTCATAAATGTGTTTTTGAAAAGAGAATAGGATTGATACCATCTCTTTACCTTGCATTTTCTGCTCCATAGTCATCTCTCCCCTTGCACAGAGGGCAATCACACTCAAGTCTGTCCCACAGCCAGGAGATGGTTTCTGTTGACAGTGTCTCCAGCCACATCCAACCACAATGGCACCACAGGTCCCCAAAGGACAGTGTGTCCTGCATGTTTGCACATCCTATCTAAATAGCTAGAGAATTTCACTTATTTTCCAACTGAATTCAGTCTCTGACTACAGAAATCATGCCAGCTCAACATCTCAGCCTGATTTATAGACAGTTCTTCATACTGAAAAGAGAAGACAATTGGAAAAGCAGCTGAACAAACAGCAGTCCTTAGGGATAACGAACAAGGCAAAACCCAGTGGGTTTGACTAGAACTAATTGCATCCTTTGTCAGCAAAAGCTCAGGAAAGCCTGTTGTCCCATGTGTCTGCACCCACCATGCTTCTGCATCACTAATTTCGACTTTCCTTCTCTTCAAATCACTGTCTCCTGTGTCTGCTGCTGCTGTTACTGATGCTGAAGGAATTCAATAGCCATTAACCGCTAAACCTAGACTAGCAGGAGCCAACTGTTACCAATATAGCTATTTCCAAAAAGACAAACAGCACCAGCAGGCTCTCAGATTTTAAGGGCTGTTTCATGTGTTCGACAGCAAAGAACAAAGTATCTTGCCTGACAATGTCATGTGTGGTTTTCATTAAATAGTGATCACAAAGCCATTTAGCATTCAGCACAAACACGTATCCGACTGCACCCTCCAACTCGCCTGTAGACCAAATCAGGACTTCAGTGTTAGAGGCACCCACTGTCCCCTTCTTTACAGAGTTCATCATTTCACTCCTTCTATCATAACTCTTTGACCTGAAGGGCTTTTTTTTATTATTTATTTTATTTTTTATTCCCTAGCACTTCCCCTCTCATGGGGAACACAAATAGGAACAGAAGGGAGTCATGGCTTCTGCTAGCAAATTTGCAGTGTAAACACCCAACACAAAATACCAGCGAGTACTTCACATGCAGCGATGTGAAGCACAGAACATTTGGTGGTTTATTCAAGATCAGCCTGACTGAACCAGCAGCTGAACTGGAAAACAGAGCTTAGACCATCCAGTTTTCAGGAGATGCTTTTACTAATCTCTGCAAGCAGGTATGCTAGAGAAAGCAAACATCTGTTGATCATCCAACATTGGCTTCTGCTCAGACCCTACTCATTGTGCTAAAAAATGTCAAGAGAACGTCTCATTATGGTACTACTATAAAAATTAATATTCACCCAGAAATAAGAAGATTATTCTGTGGCTGTGAATACATCACCCTGAAAATGCATTAAAAAAATCTAGCAACCACACCAAAAGCAATGCTTTGCTCTCTCGATAGCAGAGAACATTTCCAGGCAAATTTGGCCCCATTATATTAATTCTGCATGGCTTGGGGACACTCGACCCAGCAAGCACCATAAGGCTTTTACTGACAGGTCTTTCAAAAATCCACTTATCTAGCAAGCTGCTGGCCATAGTTGAAGAGCTGATTGTCAGATAACTGGGATTTGTATTAGAAGTTGATAAAGCTCCACTTCTAGTTGGGAAGCCTTCATCTGTGGACCAGACTGTAGAAAAGAAGATAAGCCCTCAGTGCTACAAGGAGAGGTGGGTTGTAAGCACTAGAGAGATATTCAAAGGCGTACAAAAATAATTCCTGCTAAGGAGTGACTACAATAAAATATCACTTCTTCAACAGGTAGTGTGTTTGTTCACTGCAGCTCTGGCTTATGACCATATAAATCGTTGCACATACCACCATTGTTTCCTTTCAATTTCTTAAGTCTATACAGAATAAACCATGAAAGGAATAAGTTCAGATTTGTCCCTGGAGAAGTCAGATACTTCACTGTACCATCAGCCCAACTGCAGCACTCCAGCCTGCCGCAAAAGCACATCACTGTCGGGAGATGGAGTCCTTACTCGGAGAAGATTTGCTAGCAATAAAAAGAACCAATGCTTCAAAGTTGCTACTAGGGAGCTAGTCTCCAAAATGGTCACCTACAGGTTAGGAGAGCACTGGAAAAAGAGAGACTTAGCCTTCTAGAAACCTCAAAGTGAAGATTCAAGAAAATGAACTTAGCAGTTTCTCCTATTTAACCAGTTCAGCTTGTTCAGTCATGGTAATGCCTTAGAGTTCAACCTCCAGAAGTGATGCAAGGCACACTTTAAAATGCATTTTTTAGTGTTTGAATCAAAGGTACCTGCCCAGCTCTGATGCTTTTGGAAATCAGGCTGAGGAACCCACAGTGCGCAGTCTCCTTCCTCCTTGATTAACTCGATCAAACAGCCCTGCCCTATTTGTTATCAATTATATGCTGACAAGTCCAGCATCTGGAGAGTAAGAGCTTTTACAAATTAAATATACATAGTATTGATTTTTAACTTGAGTATTACTTTACAGGTAACACCCTGAGCCTTGCCCTGAACAACTACCTAAAAGCTGTGCAGAATCAGCTCTCTCAGAGTTGGGTGGTCTTCACAAGTTCAAATGAGGCTGCATTTAAGAAATGCTCAAGAAAGACACTGCTCTTCAGCACAGGCTGTCCCCTGCAGCCCAGCAGAAGCCACCAAGTCCCACACATTTCTCAATCATCTGGATTACACCATGAGCAGAGTCTGAAAAGGGCCAGGCCAGAGCAGCAGATGACACATCTCATACTTACAGAAGCTCTTTACTACGTGTTACCTAAATGACAAGCAAGTCTCGTACCACAACTTCTACATCTTTCTTTTTACCACTAGTCATTAAAAAAGAAAGTGACTTAAAAAATAGCAAGAAAATATTAAAAATGGCCATATGACACATCAATCCCCCCTCTCTGACACACAGAGACAGCTCCCCATTACAGATCAAAGGCACAACATGATACAGCTCAAAGGAATCTTTCCAGGAAAATGTGAAAAAAAACCCAAACCATTTTTAAATGCTTTTTTCTGTAATTGTTATTCTTTTCAAGAAGTACTTACTGGCAGCTTTTTATGTCAATACAAAAGCTCTGTTAAAAACTTCAGTAAAAGCCAAATAATATTAAATTGATTAACTCTAAATTACAGCATATCACAGCCACGTAATTGCCAGGAGAGATTTATCCAGATTAGCTAAACTGAACTCAAACTTCTAAATACCATTTTTTATATGCACATTTCCTACCTTCCAATTTCACTTTAACATCAACGTGTAAATTTACAATGCATTATCCACATATGGCACTAGAGGTGTAACAACATCACCAACTCCACAGCCCGCTTCAGGGATTTTGTAGAAAGAAATTGCCTGAACAGTTACCTACACGCTGGAGTCTGGGATTAAGAGTACAAAGCATCAAGTAAATTAAATTACTTTACAGCCTCAAACCTGAAAGCTGCTCTAGCAGTGAGATTGAATGCCAAGAAGATACCTTCAAGAGTATCTTGGAGAACAGTTCCACAAGCTGAACGCTGGATGGGTCAAACACAGAATGATACCACTTGCAACCTGTTGCTATTTTCACTTAGCATAAAAAAAAACCCTCTACAAAATTGTACACTTGCCTTTCAACAAGAACTGTATCTACAAGCTCTATTTTTAAGCTGGACCTAATGCAGACCGCCACTTCAGACTGTGCCCTCTTTGAACCCTCATACACAATCCATGCATGCACAAGATTTTGGTCACCTCTGGTGCACTTTTTCCAATTCTACCAATAACCTTTCCCAAGGCTGATTTTTCACATTAGAACATTACTAATTAGAGGAGGAATGGTTAATTTTTTATTATTATTTTATTTATTTTTTTTTTTAAGTTCAGGAAAGTCTTTTCATCCTGTGTTGAACATCAAAGCAGCACAGTCCTTTCCCACTACGTTCAGGTCTAGATAAAGAGGTAACAAGATTTTTTTTTTATTATTTTTATGAACAGTGCTTATTAGTGTTTTTTCCTAACCAGTCTAAATTACACATTCAGAAGACAATAATGGAACAAGACTACATTTGGTCTACGGAATAGTTGCTGAACTGCTAGCACCAAAAGGAGCAACTGAGCTGTATCCATGTTGTCTTAAATCTCAAAAATGTTGATATATGTAACTTTTTTTTTTTTAAATTCCACATTCATGAAAGTGCCTGTAGATGAGAGACATAACACTATTTCAAACACCAGAGTCCTCCACAAAGACGCGCGGGCAGACGTTATGTACATGTCCCAAGAGCTCATTCGCTGGCAGCCTGGAGGATTGCCAGTGTAGTCCAGGGTCAGTGTTCATTGTTGTTTTTTCTTATTTCTTTTAAAAAGGACCAGACACATTGTTCTGTAAGAGAGATTTTGATCTCTTCAATATCATCTTCAAGAGAGGCTTGCTCTGGTCTCCCGTAGAAGGAAACACAATAGCTCGTGTTCTGCATTACATGACCCCCTTGTGCGACTCTTCCCTTCCTAACCCACTCCACAGACTGCGAGAAAAATGAAATTTAAATCATGTTATGCTCTGCTATGTTGCCATGCAGCTGGAGCCATCAGCCTGCCATGCTTCCAGGTCTGCAACCTGACTCGGGGAGAGTCAGATGGGTCAAAGCAGCGGGAATTCCCTTCAAGTAGATAAATCCCCACCAAAAAAAAAAAAATCCTCTTGGCTCATGGCGGAAGGGGAAACCACATGCCAGCTCTTTAGTTAAAATTACAGCAAGTCAAGTAGCTGATACTTTTCCCCTCTCCTGGTAAGGGGGATGAGACATTGTTCACAAGGGTGTTCTGTCGTGCCTCGCTGATCAACCGGCAGGCCAAGTCCAGGAAAAGTTTTTCCACATTATCCGATTCTTTTGCTGAGGTTTCCAGATAGTACATGTCCTGCGCTTCGGAAAACTCTGCAGCTCTTTGCTGGGAGACTTCCCTCTTATCAGCTAAATCAATCTTATTACCTGCATTGATAAAAGATTTTAGAAAGGGAATTAATTTGACTTCCAAAAGAAAAGAAACAGAGGTTATAAGGGATAAAGAAGAGTTTGGTGTTGTGTATATGCATGGACAGCAGGATTGATGTGAAACTCTCAGTGCTTGCTCCCATCTCCAAATAATGGATTCCCTGATACACGTGACCAAGTCCATTTAATATGAGCTCATTTAATGGAATATGCCCTGTGAACATCCAAGTCAGTTAGCTTTAATTTAGCACCAGTGCATCTGTTTGCTGCAATCAACCAACATTAAAGGATTTCCATTTTAATATCTATTGAAAATTCTCCTGAGGAGAATTTAAAATATCAATTATAGCATATGAGACACTAAACATGATATTTCTTGTATCATTACAAGCTTTAGAAGAAGCCTGGCATGGAACGCAGCTTTCCTCTTTCAATATTCCTGTGGTGGATTTGGCTGTTGACAGTGGAAGAGGAACGGGCTCAGGGGCACTCGCAGAGCGAGGTGGGGCAAGAAACCAGCCCCTTCCTTCAGAAAGCTCAGCTTAACAGAGCGCTGATTAAAGCCTCAAGCAAGCATCTGATATGATTATACTCTATTACTGGCCACTTCACTTCAAACTTGATGTTTTTGCCATAAATTAATCTTAAAAAGAAGATAACAGACCAGGACCTGTGATAATAGGGGGCTGTGTCCAGACACCTGACAGGCTCAAGAGGAAACATCTCCTGGTTTCACTTCTACCAGCTATTTTGTGAGAACTAGTGGGAGGAAAAGACTGCCCTTCCACTGGCAAGCCATGTCTCATTGCCCTCCTCTCATCTGAGATCCCATTTCTTTCCCGATAAAGCAGGTTCTGGGACCCATTGTATACAGTGAAGTTGCCTTTCTGAACAAATTATCACTCAGCACAAATGGTTTATGGGTGTCACCATCTTCAAAGTGTTATGACTTAACATTTATATTTTGTGCTGTAGATATTGAAAATTAACTTAATGTTCCCCCCCAAAAAAATCATATATACATTTGTTAATCATATATTAATTACTTCTGCACCATTTGGACAGGTGCCATACTATTCTCATGGAGTAAAATTAGTTTCTTGTATGGAAACTCTGCAAATCCCAAGGCTCACTTGCAATACCACTGGGACATAAAAAGCTCAAAAGATTTTTTTTAAAGCCACCTTAAACACATTTTACGATCCTCTAGATTTTTTTTTACTTTTAAACAACAAACTATTAAAGGTGACATCAACACTGCAGCATGAAACTTTCTGGCTTTCCTCAAGTTATTTTTCCATTGTTCTTTATATATTCTTGGGCCTATAAAAGCCAAGTCCTGACTACCAGATGCTGAAAGCAGAGCATGGAAAAGCATGAGTAGGCAAAATAACCTTCACCTTGTTTGCAGCAGACAGATGGCCTGAGGTCTGCTTTAGCTAGAGTTGAAGCTCTACAGATTAAACATTCAGTTACTTATTTTTAATTTCCCTAAAATCCATGCAAAACCATCCAGTTTTCCAGCTCTGTCCTACCTATGAATGCTATGATCCACACAACCATCACATCCTGATCTGATTCCCAGATCTTGACTCACAACCCACTCAAGACAAGACTCTGGTTGCCCCACAGCTGTGAGATACAGCAAACCAGATGCAACCCCAACCTGAGCAGAAACTTGTATATTTGTAGAGATCCAAGCTGGGAGTCACAAGGGAAACTGCTCCATTCTTAGCTCTGTTGGTAGCTGCACCATCAACACTTTAGTCCCATATGGGACCAACTGGTGGGGAGTATCCACCTCTGCATGCAATAGCCTTAGAGCTGAGACAGGACTACACTTTGAGAAGTGCCTGTGGTGTCCTGAACATCACTATCAGCATCTTGGGGTTATTTGCAGAAGGAATTCTCCAAGCACTGGGTTTAAGGCACCCTGTACCCACCTGCGGTTACAACTCTGGTTGGCAACAAGATCTGCCGCACCAGTTCGAGCATCTTACACCACCAGTTCACACAGGTGCCACATTTTCCTCCTGCTAACACCTCCATCTGCCACCAAGCCCTCGACACACACAGCTCAGCCCCTCATCACACCACCCCACTAGCGGGCACTTACCCACTAGCACAGTTATGACCTTATTGCTGGCATACTGCTCGATTTCTCGCAGCCACTCGGGGAGACAGCGGAAGGATTCTTCACAGGTGATGTCGTAGGTCAAGATTAACGCGTTAGCGCTGCGATAGTAACTCTGCGTGATGGATCGGAATCGTTCTTGTCCTGCCGTGTCCCAGATCTGCAGCTTTTGGCATAACAAGGAAGGGTGGTAAAAGGAGAAAAAAATTAAAAATTATTTAACTTTTTTTATTTGATAGCAACACTGTTTTGTCCTTAAAAAACCCCTTTAGGGTAAAACCAATGCTGGGAAAGCACTTAGCTCTTAGCACTTAGCTCTTCTCCCCCTTGGCTTCCCCTCCCCCAGCATGTTTTGTTTCTGTTCCTGCACTTGTGGATTGAAATGCAAGGCACAAAGTCAGCTGGCACCGCAGCCAACGGCCCCTGGAAGCCGCAGGTCTGCAGGTTGTCATGCGACTTCTGGCATCTCATTTCATTCAGTGCCACAAAAATGATCCGAGGGCTGGAGCACCTCTCCTACAAAGACAGGCTGGGGGAGTTGGGATTGTTCAGCCTGGAGAAGAGAAGGCTCCAGGGAGACCTTGTTGTGGTTCAATACTTAAAGGGCACCTATAAGAAAGGCAGACACAGACTTTTATCAGGGCCTGGAGTGACAGGACAAGGGGTAATGGTTTTAAACTAACAGAGGGTGGATTTAGACTAGATATAAGAAATAAATGTTTTATGGTGAGGATGGTGAAACACTGGCACAGGTTGCCCAGAGAGGTGGTAGAATCCCCATGCCTGGAAACATTCAAGGTCAGGTTGGACAAGGCTCTGAGCACCCTGGTCTAGTTGAAGATGTCCCTGCTCCGGGCAGAGGGGTTGGACTAGATGACTTTTAAAGGTCCCCTCCAACCCAAACCATTCAATGATTCTATGATCTTCCTCTGCTGTGGACAGAGATGTTGGCCTGGACTTACAATGCAGGCACTGGAGAAAGAAAGTCACTTCTCCTGTCCCTGAAGTCCAACCAACAGCAGTATCCATCCAAGAAGAAATAAGAAAGCCTCTCCCCTCGTTCCCAAAGCTAGTTATAGTTATCCTGAGATGATGCACTGATGGGTAGAAACCACAAGACCGAACAAGGAGCTGAAGGCTGATCCAAGGACTGCAACACTTTTCCTCTCTACAGCTTCAGCCATCTTGCCCAGTTGCTCATCGCCTGCCTTCCCACCACATAGAACTGGCTGACATGTCTTTAATTATACCAAAGAGGTCACGAGTGTTTGCCAAACCCTCTGGGTCTAGGAAGACAATGTACATTTCCCAATATACAAACTAAACTCATACTGTTCTTATAAAGTGACTATCTGATTTTTGGGAGATCATCAAAACCTCAGTTCTTCCAAAAGACAGACAAAGAAACAAACATCCAAACTTAAAACATTTCAACATAAAAGTACTTCTCTGCTTCAGCTTTTATTTTTTTTAAAGCACCCCTCCCTGGAATGAAATATGTGAAAGGGTGATTTCCAGCCAGAATCCTGTGTGCTTTGGGAAGAAAAATGTAAAGTATTTGAGATTATTTTTTTTCCATATATTCAGCAGTCCATAACAGAGAAAACCTTATTCTTGCCCAGTTCCAAAGTAGAACTAAGCCAGCTACTCATCATAAAATTGTTAGTTTGAAATGAGAGCTCCTAGTAGCAGCTTTCAGACGAGGGGTATGATTTTGGAAAAATACGGTTTTTGTAGAGAAAGTAATTTGTGGCTGGTTCACAGCTCCTGGGCACAAAAGTGCTTAATCTCTGGGCATAGTTGTGTTTACCTGGCTGAACCTGGCACCTGCAGTTAAGTGACACACAAAACCATAAGTGAAATTACTTGCACGTGAAATCCAGATAATGGACAAGTCCCCATTAAAACAAACCAGCTTCCAAACTCTGGCAGATGGAAAAATACAGATAATTTTGTTGTTGCTTGGCTATTTCCCAGGAAAAACATTTACTGATTGGTCTACTGGTTAACTCCAGTTTCACATTTATTGAGAAGATCTCCAAGCTGATAAAAACTTGATGTGAATATGTTCTTCCATCGCTTTAATATGAGAGACAGTGAACGCAAAAGGGATTGCCCTGGGGCAGAGAGTTTCTTACTGGCTGCAGCCCTGAGTCTACTTGAGAGCTGGGTGCAGAAGGCAGGGAAGAGCCCCCGACCTTACAGCCACCAATAAATTCTTCCTGCACACAAAATGCACATCTTGCACTTCACCTCACTGAGTATTTCTGTCAAATAAAATATTTCACATTTTGCACACAAAATGCACAACTCACACTTCACCCCACTAATTATTTCTGTCAAATAAAATATTTCACAGCAACCATTTTACTTGCATCATTTTTTTCAGAGGAACCAAAGGACTGTGCCTGAATCAGCCTACACAAAACCTAGATATTTCTTTTCTCAGAACCAGTTGATGCTTCCTGCTCTCACAACATTTGCACATACATTTAGCTTTATGCACATGAACATTTCCACCAAGTACAATAAGATCACAGGCCCATATAGCCCACTGTTTGCAGCACTGAGGAAGCTCAGCTTTGACCAGTGTAACTGCTATCTACTTGGCTCATATTTGTGCAACCTCTCAGTTGTGCATATTTTTGGTTTTTTTAGAAAAGGCTCATATTTGTGTAACCTCTCAGTTGTGCGTATTTTTGGTTTTATTAGAAAAGGCCAGGAAGGTCAAAAGCCTCAACTGTGCAGTGCTGTCTCAGCTCATCTGCCAGCAAGCTTTAGCAGCCACTCATATCTGATATGGCTTGTACACAGCTTTCATGCTAGCAAGTCCCTCTCCACTGACTCTCGAGTGCAATTTTGAAAGCTGGAGTATTTTTCCCCAGAAATCTATTCTTTATTTTCAAGTCTGGAAATCTTTCCAGTGAACAGCTCTGCTCTCTCACCCTGTATCCCAGCAAATGTGGCAGGAGATGCTGCTCAGCACAGAAGCAGAGTCACAGCTCGGGCACTGTGAAATGAGCTAGCAGTCACAGAAGCACCTCGTTTGACTGAGATGTCATTTTTATTGCTCTGTGCTCTGACTCATTCCTG